TGGAAAATCCCAGGAGCGACATTTACTCCAAACTGTAGCCTTTTTACTTTAAAGGCTCCCCTGTGGGTCACAATGGTCTGAGCTATGGCAGCATCATCATCAACAGGCAGCTGTTGATATGCTTGAGCTAGGTCAAGCTTTGCAAAAACACGCCCCCCCTTGAGAGAGGCCAGGATGTGACTGACCACAGGAACAGGATAGGCATGTTGCTGCAATGCCTTATTGAGTGTGCATTTGTAATCAGCACAAATGCGAATGTCCCCATTTGCCTTTAGAGGCGTGACAATGGGGGTCTCCCACGGGCTGGAATCAACAGGTTCTAGGATTCCCTGTTGGATTAGTTTGTCTAGTTCAGTGTCAATCTTACTTTTTAAAGCAAAAGGGACCCTTCTTGCTTTAATCCTAATGGGAGTGACAGTGGGGTCTAGCTTTAAGGACACAGGTGGTCCTTTGAATGTGCCCAGCTGGGGGCTGAAAACATCTGCAAATTCTTTGCAGACTTCCTGTAGGTCGAGTGTTTGTAAGCTGTTGAGTCCTGTGACGTGTATCCCCAGGGCCTCAAACCAATCGAGTCCTATGAGACTCGTTCGTTCACCCCCTACTACTAATAAGTCTAGTGGACCTTCAAAACTCTTGTATTGCACGTTAAGGGTGGCCTCCCCCTTAACACACACTCTTGAGTTCTGAAAATCTGTTAATACAATATCAGAAGGCCTTAACTTGGCCTTAGACCCACTACTGGAACAAATCTTCCTAAATGTATGCAATGAAATGATGGACAGGGCAGACCCTGTGTCTAGTTCCATAGATAATGGAACCCCTTGTAGCTTCACGTTGAGTGACAGCTTTTTCTTCATGGGCTTGTGTGTGCCTGTTCTACAGATGCTTCTTCGCGAAGCGCAAAACCCTACCCTATTCTGGCTGGGGAATCTGGTACCTTTCAGGCGTTCTTCTTGGGGTTGTGCCTTTCGTCGGCTCAGACACACAGCTGCAATATGCCCTTGTTTGCCGCATGCCCGGCAGGTAGCGGAGCGGAACTTGCAGTCGGTTCTCCTGTGGCGACCTCCACAGCCGATGCACTTGAGCAGAGCCGAAGAGCTTCCCTTCTGGTTCTCTTCCTTCGCGGGGTGTAGACGGTCGACTTCCTCGTCCGGATCCTCCTCGGAGTTTCGTCGGACGTCTTCCTGGTGCACGGACGCACCCTCTGCACTGTTTCTGATCGGCCGCATGTTTTTGATGGCGCCGCCTGCTGCTTCTTCTGCGGTGACTTCCCTTAAGGCGTCTTGGAAGGATAATTCTTCCTTGGCAAAAAGTCTCTGTTGTAGCTCTCGATGCCTTAGCCCGCACACGAATCGGTCCCTCAGTCGTTCCTCGAGGTCCTTGAACTCGCAGGGCTTGGCGGCCTTCCGTAGCGCGGCGATGTATTCCTTGGCTGTTTCACCGGACCGTTGATCCCTCTGCTCGAAGGTGTGGCGCCATGAGATAACGGACACCTTGGGGTGGAAGTGCTCTTTCAGCAGCTTCTTCAGGTCTGCGTAGCTTACAGACTCTACTGGAACAGGTGCTACAAGATTTTCTGCGATTTCGAAGGCGTCTTGGCCGCAAACGCAAAGCAGGGTGGCGGCCTTCAAGCTATCTTCCCTCACTTGGTTTGCCTTGAAGTAGTTCTCCATTCTGGATACGTAGGACTCCCACCGCTCTGGATGTGAGACGTCGAATTCCGAAAGCCTTCCGATTTTGCCATCTTCGGATCTTCAGGAGACGGGTCTATCAGCCAGCCTACCCCCGAATGCGCACCGGATTGGCGGGCAGCTGCCGAGTCGACGCCGTTCCTCTTCCGCCGCTCAGGACTCCTTGGGTAAGCTTACACTTCTTCCTTTCCAGGTAGTGCAAGGCATCCCACCTTCGTCGCCAGTGTTGCGTCCTTGGCGGGAAAAACAGACACGAGAAGCAGCTGGAGTTCTCAGTTTCTTTTATTCAGCGTTCAGCTTACAGGAAGATGGCTTCAGCCTCGCCCAAACGCCTCGCAGCCTCTTATATAGGCAACTCCCGGGTAAATGGGTTACTTTTCCCGCGCCAGCACCCGCGCATGCGCACGGCGCTGGCGACAGCCTGTCTGGTCCCGGGCAGCTTTGCACCTGCCCGGGACTGCCTGCAAACGCCCGAGCCGTTTGCAAAGGCTCGGGACATAACACTTCCCATTCAATATTTTTTTATTTTTGCCGGAAATATCTTAAAATCATGGCATCTTTTAGTATCAGCAAATTCTTACTTGACATTTGATTTCATATACTTTGCATGAATGTCCTATGAATGCCTAAGGGAAACATCAGCAGGAGTAGAGGCTAGGGATGAAAACTGTAAGTTCAAAGGGTCACAGGAAAAATCACAAGCCTATGTAGCATCAAAAAAGGTTGATTAAAAGAAAATACTGAAGGCTTGAAAATAACATCACCAAAATTATTTGAACTCCAACTATAGCACAAGGATTTCTTAAATGCTTATATTAAAACTAATCTAGAACTGATCTGATACCATTCATGCAAGATATATGCCAGGATTTGGTGTTTTTCATGTTTTAATTGGTTATGGTTCATAGTTTGATATGATTTTATATTATTTTTAATTTTTGATTGGGAGCCACCAAGAGTTGATCGAAAGATGGGCAGCTTTATAAATGTAATAAATAATTAAATAAGCAAACAAATAAATAAATTCTGTAGAAGAGCAAAATGCCTCATTGATTGGTCAATGTATTGTGTATATGTATCTATATGTCTGTTTGTGTGTTTGTAATTTGATATAACAATCATCTATCAAAATATTATAAAAAGGTAACCTTCATAAAGCAGTCTAATATCCCTGATGGCACTCTTAAACCAGACATTTTAAACAAAGTCTTCCTCAGTGCTGTGAATCTTCTGGATAATTTGTAGTAGTTTTTTACTTAAAACAAAAATAGTTACATAAAAAACCCCACCTTGTAATGCAGAGTTTAAACATCACAAATTCAATATCATTTCAAAACAAACATGAAAGGTAAAATCACCCTGTTGTTAGACTTGGTGGTGGGATTCAGCCAGTTTGCACCAGTTCAGCAGAACCGGTAGCTAATTTTTTGTTGCCCAGACGCAGAATGGTCTTCCGGAAGTGGCATCCACACAGAGAACCGGTTGTTCATATATTTGAATCCCACCACTGGTTAGACTCAACACCTAGTGACCGTGGAGCTATGTCTGTATGATTTGCTTGCCAGCATATGGAAATGGCCTTGTATTGCCACCTTCTATGTGTTTTTAATTTCCCAGTCTTGTTCAACCTAGCCCTAGAAGTTTTTCATGGCTTCCCACCCAACTACTAACCCAATCTGACTCTGTTAACCATCTCACTATGATTCCATTTATGACTGAACTCTTTCTTCACTGAAAACAGAACTGCCAGTATGAAATTGCTCTGACACAAATCCATGGTGAGCACATTCTTGAAGTACTAGATATAATTTTTATTAAAAGGGGCATTACAAAGCTTAAAAGATACAAAAAGTGTCAGCAAAACTCCTAAGAGATAGAGGTCTCCTGTGAGAAAAGATTTTATATACAGTATGTGTGTGTGTTTGTGTGTGCACACGGGGAGGGGGAAGAGTATATTCTCGAGTTTGTATAGCTACCTATCTCACAAATGTGACTCAATAGCTTAAAACAATTAAATACAAATTAAAATAACAACATGGGATAAATGTATCAGCATTTGATATACAGTGTAACTATCTCATAAGATCCCCATTTCTTTGGGGTCCCCAGTGCTGCTGAAGAGGGATTTCATAAATGCCAGTAGGATTGGGGCTAATATCACCTCAGGGAGATTGACATTCCAAAGAATGGGTGCCAAAGCAGAAAGGGCCTTTCTTCTTAGCAGACAATATCCACAATACCCGTAACATGCCTCTCCTACTAGGCCTCATGGGACCGGTATATGTAATTGGGGAAAGTCAGTCCCTCAAATAACCTGGGTTCATGCCTGTGGGATTTTAGAAGTCAAAGCCAGCATCTTCAATTGAACAAGAAAGCAAACCAGCAACCAATGCAGCTTGCAGAGCAAAGGTGTAACATGTGCCATTCTTGGGAGTACACGTACTGTAACTGCCTGCACCATCACATTTTGTACCAGTTGAAGCTTCCAGATGTTTCTTCAAGGGCAGCCTTTTCTGGAGTGCATTACAATAGTCCATTTGGTCAGCATTCAAAAGGTAATGAAAACACCACCCAGGAATGGGCACAACTGGCACACAACACAAAGCTGTGCAAAGTTCCTCCTATCCATGACTGCCACTTGCTCTTCAAGCAGGATCTATGCATCCCAAAAGGATTCCCCCCCCCAGATTGTGCACCATGTCTATTTGGGGCAGTGCTATCCCTCCATTAACAAAGATGGTAAAGTCCCAAATCTAAAAGGCCCTAAAACCCCAAACCACTCAGTCTTCCCAAGGTTGAATTGAAGCCTATTGTTCCCCATTCTATAACCCAAGGAATTACAAACTCTTCATTCTGATTTTAGTGATGGGGAAATTACTAGAACATACCTTGTTATTCCTATGTTTATGTGGTAGTTTAGCAAGAATCTATCGATTTTTTTTCTTTAAACAGCAACGCAATAGAACAAGATCAGGGACTTAGCCCTGGCTGGCAACTAATGCTATACACCCCTCATTGATCATGGAGAAGAAATGCTGGCCAACTCTGCTTACGTTTCTATGCTTATGTCTGAAATAATTACATTTATTTCTGAAAATGAGAGAAATGCTTGAAACATATCTCCTTTATAGGTTATAACATAAAAACCACAAATACAGTAAAACAAAATGCCATGGAGTGTCTGCTTAGGTAAGTAAATAGTTAAGCAACAGTGCTAGAGCTACGGTTGAATTTTTGGCAAAATCCCATATACCATACAGCAGTGATGCCCTCACTGAACTTAATATATTACTTGGTTGAATCATTACCTAATTGGTGAGCACCAGACTACCATACAGTCTTAGCCCAAACCATTCCTAAAAGTGCACTTAAAATTAATCTAAGGAGGCTGGAGGAACATTTGTGGATTCCATTGACCAAAAAGCTTCATTTGACGGATCCAGGAGAGAGCCTTTCTGCTACCGGTATGTCACCTCCCTCTAGTCTAGAACATCATTCCCCTGAGGTGAAATTGGCCTCAACCCTCTTGCCCTCCCAGGAGGCCCTTAAAACTTAATTCTGCCATCAGGTCTGGAGATCTCATGGAACTATGGAGCCCTTTGAATGGTTGCATGCATATAAGTTGAGAATGTACTCTCCCCATCTTTTTGTTATTATAGTTATTTTAACCATTTTAACTTTATTTTACTTGTTTTAATTCTGTGGATTGTTTGGCTTTTACTTGTGTATGTCACTCAGATCACAAGTGTAGGGTGGGTGGCTATATAAATTGAATAAATCAGTAAATAAAACCTGAAAAGCTAGCTGAGGTATTATATTAAAAAAGTCTATAGTGCTTAAACACTTTACCCTGTCCTGTAATGCTGGACATAAAGTTGTGACAACCTAGAAATCACTACTTTATTTTGCTCAGTTAGGAAAGGGAATTCAAAGAGAAGTCTGTATTTTTATGAGCAGATGTTGAGAGAAAAAAGAGTGAATTAGAAGGAAATAAAATACCCGGTTTGAGTGGTTAATCCGCACAGGATTACCAAAGCTCACTGTGGTTGTATTCACATGACAAACTTCTTAATGCTTTAGCTAATTAACCCAGCAGTCATAAATTAACCATGGCCTCACATGATAGTATTTTCTCGTTCAATGCAACACATCCTTCTTTCCTTGACTGTTCAACCATAGCAGTAGCATTTAGCACTTAGACTTCTATACTGCTTCACAGTGCTTTTCAGCCTTCTCTCAGCATATTGCCCCCAACAATCTGGGCCCTCATTTTACTGACATTGGAACGATGGAAGCCTGAGTCAACCTTGTTTACTTTTACCTTTGGTTTTGTTTGGATATTCTACAGCCTTTATAATCCCAGGAGAAAAAGGATTAAATTGCTGTTGAAACTGTTCTTGCTCTTTTAATCTCAGACAGTCTTTTTAAACTAAAAGCTTATCTCAGAAAAATAAGCTATATTCTTATTCTGAATATATTTTTAATGTTATTCTATATTTTTGCATGATAACACTTTATAGTTTTTCTTCTGTTTTTATTAGTGTTGGATTAAACTTCCTCATATAAGAATGTCTCTTCTGGAGATTGGTAGTCTTCCTTTTTAATCTTTAGGACTGGCAAGAATGAATTGAGTGATATACCTGCCTTATTTATTTGTTTATTCGCTTGTTTATCAAATTTATTAGCTGCCCATCTTACCACCAGGTTAACTCTGGCAGATTACAATAATAAAAGATAAATATATACATATATTAAAACATAAATAAATACTTTCATAAACTACTTTGCTGGTCAGCAATCCCTTTTATGGTGGCCTGCATGAGTAATCATCAAACCAGCAAGAGAAGCAGGTGCCTTCAAAAAATTGACATGCATTTCATAGTATCATTGTAAGGTGGTGCTGATAAATTTGCATAGGCATTCAAGGAATGATAAAGTGATAATAGAAGAGTTGGACCCTGGGCTTGATCCCCAGCATGAAATAAAACAATCATTACTGAGGGAAACAATTAAAACTTATATGGAAGAATTGAATTAAATAGACTTTGGTGTTTAAAATATTCAACTAAAAATGAATATACATTTTATTCAAGAATGCACTGGTATTTTTTAGGCTTGATTTTTTAAAATATCATTGATTTTAAATCACCAAATTCAAGAATGCAATATTGATGTTTGTTATGTATGCAATCATAGTGCAGTTACCTTTAAATTTGTCTTTCAGAAACTGGTTAAGGTATCAAGAAATTACTATTTCAACATTTCCCTATTGAATGATAAAGAATTTGTACAACAAATGCCAGTAGAGACCTTACAATACTCTGATTTGAATTCAGAAACATCAAGTGCCCAACTTTTTGAATGGGAAAGATATAAAACATTTATTCAAAGTCAAATTATTCCTTATGCATCATATAAAGATAAGATTAAAAATAAAAGAGAAAATAATTTGGAAGATTAAATAATAATAATAATAATAATAATAATAATAATAATAATAATAATAATAATAAGTCATCTAGTCCAACCCCCTATTCAGGCAGGAAACCTTATACCATTTTGGACAAATGGCTGTCCAGTCTCTTCTTAAAAACTTCCAGTGTTGGAGCATTCACCGCTTCTGGAAGCAGGTTGTTTCACTGGTTAATTGTTCTGTTAGGAAGTTTCTCCTTAGTTCTAGGTTGCTTCTCTCTTTGATTACTTTCCATCCGTTGCTTCTTGTCCTGCCTTCAGGCTGTAACGATGCTAAGAAAAAGACTCAGGCATTTCTTGAGCAGAGGTTTGAAGCTGCAGGACACAGTTTGACAAACTCTGAGTTTATTGCTTCTTATATACTTTTTACATACATAGGCTTTACCATTAACTGCTGACATTTTACATTCATAAGTTTAACCTTTAGCTGTTGACATAAAGTAATTGAAAAATTCCTTCATATAAGCAATTATTTTCTAGTAAAATATTACCTGTTGAGAGCAGGTAAAAACAAATACAGGTAGATTAGAAAAGGAGAAAAAACTGACAAAGACAGGAAGAGATAAAGACAGGAAGAGATAAGGGGGAACTTAAAGCATATTATTTATTTAGGTAGGTAAGGTATTAAGTCAAAAGGGGGTGATCTTTTGGCTGCTTCCTTGGGACAAAGGGTATCAAAAGATTATGAGGTTTGTGGGGGGAAAGTATGGCAGTTTGCTGCGCATGTAGTTTTCCTCACACAGGCGCTTTGGAGAATAGCCTGACTCCCTCTTCTTTGTGGCAGCCCCTGAGATATTGGAACATTGCTATCATGTCCCCCCTCGTTCTTCTCTTCATTAAACTAGACATACCCAATTCCAGCAACAATTCCTTATATGTTTCATTTTTAACTTCTGTTTCTATTCTGTTTTTTATGGCACTATTTTGATAGGTTGATCTGTTTTTTCCCTTTGTGTAAAGACAGATGCAAAAAATGAGTTAAATAGTTCTGCTTTCTCCCTGTTGCTTGTCACCGTCTTGCCACTTTCCCCCACTAATGGACCAATCATTTCCTTCACTTTTTTCTTGTTTTTTACATGTTGAAAGAAGCTGTTTTTGTTATTTTTGACTTTGGTCGCAAGCCTTAGTTCATTTTGAGCCTTAGCTTTCCTCGCTTCATTTTTGCAGGCTCAGGCTATTTGTTGATATTCTGACTTAGTTATTTGCCCCTCTTTCCACTTTCTATACTTGTCCTTTTTATCTTTCAATTTATCAGAGAATTCTTTATGCAGCCATGTTAGTTTCTTTTGAGAGCTATTATTTTTTTTCTTTGTTGGTATTGTGCTGGACTGGGCTTTTATTATCTCGCTTTTCAAAATTTCCCAAGCTTCTTGAGCTGTTTTCCCCTTGAGGATTCTCACCCATGGAATCCTTCCCAAGCCCTCTCTACGTTTATTGAAATTAGCTCTCTTAAAGTCCAAGACTCTAGTCCGACTGTGTCCTATTGCTTGTGCTTCCATAATGTTGAATTCCAATATTGCATGATCACTTTCTCCCAAGCTTCCTATGGCTTCAACATCTTCTATCATTTTGTCTCTCTTAGTGAGAATTAGATCCAAAATGGCTAATCCCCTAGTTCCCTTCTCTACTTTTTGGGAGACAAAATTGTTTGCTAGGTTTGCAAGGAATCTGTTTGATCTTCCACTTGATGTCAGGGTAGTTAAGGTCCCCCATTACTATTGTGAGGTGCTTCCTACATACATTAGTTAGCTGACTAGCAAAAAGTTCATCTATTTCCTCTGTTTGGTTAGGTGGCCTGTAGTATACACCTATGCAATGTCATTTTTTCCCCTTTTATATTGATCCAAATGCATTCAGGACAGTTTTCATCATTGTTGTGCTCTATTTCTGTAGAGATGTAGTTATTTCTTACATATAGAGCAACTCCGCCTCCTCTTTTATTTGGTCTGTTTCTTTTAAATAATTTAAATCCCTCTAGCTGTGTGTTCCATTTGTGGGTTTCATCCCACCATGTTTCTGTAATGGCAACAATATCATATCTGCCCTCATTAACCTGAATTTCTAGTTCACCCTGTTTGCTGTTCATACTCTGTGCATTGGTATATAGATATTTGAGTCCTTCATGACTGACCGTGTGTTTACTTCCTACATAACCTGTGTGGTGCCTGAGTTCCCCTATTTTCTTACCACCTGTTTGGTTAGTACACTTTGTGTGGTACTCACTATTACAAGCTTGATTTTGCTTGACAGCAACTGAAATATTTATGAGCACAGATGATTAGATGCCCATATTTTGTACAGAAAAATAAAGAAAAAGAAATATAAATTAACTGCTATAATATAATATCAGACAGAATTCATGCTGACATGCTTATGATAGAGACCCTGGCAGCACAGTGAAAGACCTGGCAAGATCTTACTAATTGCCTAAAGCAAAGGAAAGGTAGGGCATTGATTCCAATGATTGCAGGTCAAAAACATGAAATACATAAAACTCCAATGGGTGTAAAAAAGCATTCAAGGAAGGATATCACACATTACACATTTGCTGGGTTACTTCTTGGAAATGTTTGTATACAGCCACAAATTCTTATACATCATGAACTGTTTTTTTTTTTCATTTCTGTTAAAAGCTGGAAGCATTAAATGGAAATCTGACCGTGAGAAGCTTTCCAAAGGCAGGCCTGATTATTAAGGGGTAGGAATAGATTTTATCTAATGTCGCAGGTGGATATGAGGTATTTATCCATCCCTTGGTAACCATTACTTATGTCTGATCAATATAGTTTAGCTTCAAACAGTTTTCCATGTATGTCCCACTTTATGCAAGCTTACAAATGCCTCATCTTGCCATCAGATTGATGCAACATTCACCCAGGCACAAAAAGAAGCTAAAACAAAATCATTGCTATTTTTTAAAAAAGAAAGATTGTACTATTATAATTAAAATTAACTATTACATCATTAAGGTGCTTGTCTGATTTGGCAATGT